TTTTTTTTTTTTACACTTGCATTTAGCTTGTCTCTAGATATGAAGACTATTTCTATTTCTTTCAAGTATACCAATTATGTAATTTTTTTTTTTTTTTTTTACGTCAGTCGATGCAGCAGGTCATTTTCTGTAAAAAAAAAAAAAAGTATTAACCTTATTAATTAAGTGTGTACGAATTAACTGTCCTCTCAAAGCAAAAAAAAAAAAAGAAAAAAAAATGTATTTGAAACGTTCTTTAAATGACGAATAATTGTAGATTGAAATGGGACACCCTGTACATAAAAGGCGTACGTAGAATATTTTTAAGATAGTCTTTGCTTGTTCCTTTGTTTATAAATGTTTGGACATATTTAGGAAATATGGACGTTTTTACAATAGCAGGCGGAGAATATTTAAGAGACAAATGGTAGTAGAGACGAGACGCAAGTATTTGCAGTATTCTTTTTCTTTTTTTTGCAATTTAAGCAGTAGTAATCTACTGAATATTATATATGTTCTTTACTATGTTATTAATATTCTGAAATATACGATTTATTCATTGCTCTTGTCAAATATAATCCTACAGAAATTCAGATAGAGAAAACTTAACAGACAAATGGTATGAGCTAATTTTATAAAATGGAATTACATCTAGTAAAAATAAGTATATAAAGGAGAATGGAATTGTATATAATAAGACCAATGAATCATTGATGATTTACTTTTATCATAGTAATAGTAATCTATACTGAAACTTATAGTATCTTGCATTTACTCGTTGCTCTTATCAAACGTAATTTTGTTTCTTACCAAAATACAAATAGAAATAAATGAAAGTTTATGACAGAAGTACAGATAGAAAATTTAATCATAATTAACCTGCAAAAGAATCGATAAAATATTTTCCATAAATTGATTACAGACTGATTGTATATAATCTAGAATGGCCTGCTGGGTAGAAATATTTCACATATCCATACAAAATTGATCGAAATGAGTACATGAGTTCAAATTCATCGAGTAAACTCGATCGATTCAAGCGCGAGACTATTCTAAAGCTAAGCGCCTGTAGAAATAGTACAGGGTAGGCCAAAAATCATTTCCGTAATTTGGTGGAACATTTAAAAAAAGAAGTAATTTTGTGCAGTGAGAAAATCATGTTTGAGCTCAAATTTAATTTAAAATTAACTTATAATCCGGCATCCATCAAATGACTTGTGTGTACTTATATAATTCTAGTGTTACTTGTATAATTAACAGAATTTAATATAAATGTCTTTTAATTAAATATTAAAACTGACGACATTTGTTAGAAGAAACATTGTTTTATTAAGCACAGTTCTTATTTAACGCTATAAAATCTTTATACACAAGAGAACTGACTATGCGCTCTCGTACAGCGGGTTATATGTACCACGCTCGTACCGAAAGGGTTAATAAAATCACTTTTTCCCTTAAATTTTGATGTTTTATTAAGAAAGAAACTTCAAGCCTCTATCTTCAGAAACGCGAGAACTAACGTCCAACACACGTCGAATGAAGTTTGACTCTATAGATACATATTCCGATTTCGGAAGACACAGATTGAGCGCTTTTCACACCAGAGTGTACGTGTACGGAGTGGAGGAGGAGGGACAGCATCAGGGAGGCGACAGAAAATGCATTCATCGGACTGTGTGTATCGCGACGCGATCGCATTATAAGCGGCTAGCGCCAGTTAAAGCGATTACCGGCTGCAGGGCTGCATAGAAAAACCGACGTTATACCAGATTACAATGTGACTGCCGTTTCGCGGCGATTCACGATCGCGGCCGGCGGAACCGATTTTCGATCGAGCAACCCGCACGTGTCCCCGTACCCAGGCACTGTTCCACACCCGTTCCAACAACGTCGATTATTTTAAAGGCTTACCAGCCGGATTATGCACGTGACGCCGCGATGTTAAATGAGAATGAATTGGCCGAGCAAAGCGTTAAATACTATTCCCTCCTCCCCTGTTCGCCAGATTCTCTGTTCCCTCTCCGACAAGAAGAAATTCTTTCGTCGTTTCGGAAGGACGCGTCGACGAAACGATTTACAACGATTTTTGAGTGAAATTTTAGAAAAAACACTAACTGTATTCGTTGTACACGAAACTAGTTGAAAGTAGTTGGGGCACTGTATTATTATTTCTACTAGATCCGTGATTTAAAAGCTTCCTGAAATAAATAATTTTTTTTTTTATTATTACACGTTTAACGAAATTAGTTCTCTCTATTTCGATGTTGAACGATCTGGCCCATCCTGTATTTAATTGAATTTTCTTCAACGAAATATTTTTCGTAGATCCTTGCTGACGAACAAGGATAATATAATTTCATTTTCATTTAATCTCGTGCTCGAAAATTCCTGAGCAGAGTGTACACGTACGTGCATCAAGTTTTACGACATTGCTCTATGTTCCGCGTAATTTGCCGCGCGTTTAAATGATTTTAGATTCCAGATGGATTTTCAATCGTGCATGTCAGAAATATGCGAATATGTCCAGGGGGATTATTAAAAAATAAAGGAACGTTTACACTTCGAATTTTTTCTGTCATTTTTCCACCGTGTCAACTTTACGCAAATATTTCCCCTCGATACCTCCGCCAAACGTTATTTACGATTGCTTGGATATTTTAAATCAACGAACCGTTCACCGACAAACTGGAAATAATAAACCGGGTGCGTTGCGTCCAGCTCTTCGAAATATAACGCGAGATATATCGTCAGGAAAAAAAAAAAAAAAAAAAAAAAAGAAAAAAAAACAACTATGTACAATGTATATAAAACTACATAGATAATATATAATATATACACGCATGCAAGGTGAAACGCATACACGCGCAAATAACCCGCGAGTTTGAAGAATTGCTTCGCGCTCGCGCCGAAATTCATTTTCATTATTTAATTGTACAACACTGGTGTAACCGATTATCCGGTTAATCTTGCATCATCCGATTGAACGGTCCGATTAATCAAATAACGAAGGCTCGTGCTTACAATATCGTT